GTGTGGACTTCAACTCCCAGAATTCCCCAGCCAGCCTGGGAGTTGAAGTCCACACATCTTAGAGTTCCCAAGGTTGAGAAACACTGTGCTAGAGAGTTATTTTGAACAGATCAGGATATCATGTAAAAGCTGATGTATTTATCTGAATCCTGATTCTTTGTACTTTCCACATATGTATTTTATTATTGTATTTTCTTCTACCTATTTTACCCTGGAATTAGATCCTGTATTTTATCTTCATTTTCTCTGATATGGTCATAATAATAAACTACTACTGTGACCCCAAAATACATGAATGTGTCCAGAAGTCACCAGAGGCTGAGCAAACTCAAAGGAGACTTTCTCTTGCTTTTCCATGTGGCTGGTCTGGGCTCAGAAGCTAAAAAGGTCCAGCCCTGATTAGCTCTTGGATGGGAGACAGCCAGGAAACCCCAGGACGGCGAGTTAGACCAGCAAGAACCACTTCTCCATTGTTCCTAAGAAAACTAAGAGGATCTTGATTTCCAAAAGTTAAGCAGGATCAGAGTTGGTTAGTATTTAGATGGAAGGCCTCTATGAAATCACAGGAATGTAGACTTTACAGCTAATTTTTTTTTAAACTTTTGGAAAAAGGCAGTGGGAAACCCTTCTGCGCTGTTTCCAAGAAAATCCCACGGATATGTCCAGCAGGAGATGAACTCAGCCTGAAGGAGTCTTAGCATCATATACTTCAGAATGCAATGCATATGATAGAAAATCTGCTTTAATTTCAGTTGGAACGGTGCCTTAATCCAATAATGTTTAGAAGCTATCCCTCATCCTCTTAAGGAATAAATTATATTTATTATATTCATTAATAGGTATTTAATTAGATCTGCCAATTTATAGATCAGCTCTAGGACAGAATCCAATGGAATTTTGTTCCTCTTTTGGGCCCTGTGACTCTCACTCAGATGATGTTGTCATCTGTGTTAGTCTATAATAGCCAAAAATCAGAAGTTTGATTTTAAAAACTTCTGCCTTTTAATAACATTTGCTGGCCAGAAAAAGATGCTGCTAGACTCCTTATTTTTTAACTCAGCTGAGTAAATGCCTCCCTTGGGAAGCAAATGCATGGTAGGGTTACACCCTGTGTCAGGAATGTAAGTCACATCATACTCAGATGAGTATGCTCTAAAGCAGAGTTTCTCAACCTTAAACAATTTAAGATGTGTGGACTTCAACTCCCAGAATTCCCCAGCCAGCATGCTGGCTGGGGAATTCTGGGAGTTGAAGTCCACACTGCTTAAAGTTGCTGAGGTTGAGAAACACTGATCTAAAGAGATCTAAAGAGATTTAAAGGCTAATATGCCAAGAACTGTTGTATTGTTCAAAGGAAAGGACCTTATAACTATTTTCTCTTTCACTTTGCATTAGACAATCTCCTCTTACGGAGCATTAAAGTGCTGTCAACCCATAGCTGGGAATAGCTTCAGTTATAATTTGCCAACAATAAATAAAAGTTTATATTGTACAAGCCATGGAGATTTTTGCAATTTGACTCACTTAGGGCAGATTTTTTAAATGTCTTCAATGATGAATAAGCATGAAAATTAGCTTTCCTGGGCTCCAGATCTTCATCGGGAGCCAATCTTGAATCTCGGCTTCTTCTCTGACTTCCAAAACCCTTCAGTATTCTTAGCAAAAGGATGTGTAGCAACCCTTGAGGACGTTAGGGCTGAAACAAAAGTTCCCTAAACTCCCTCCTTCCATGCCTTGTTTCCCTTTTACAAATTACATCTCGTGGAGCGTTCACAACAGGTTTCCCTTGCATTTAAGAGAGGCCATCCTTATCGAGGAAGGAAATCCAGACAGAAGACATCCAGCCTGTTGCTTCACTATGAAATCAGGCGTATAACATCAGATAATTTTTGGACACCCCAGGAACACGATCCTGATCAAATGTATAAAACCAGTAGTAACGTTTTGCACATGTTAGTCTTGGCGGACACCCCCCTGCTTTTGTGTTTTTCTTGGTGGGGATGTTCATTTCCAAACCAGATGATGGCTGAAACAAAACCCAAGCTACTTTTAACTGCCAGAACCAAAGGTAATAGGCAGAAAATGTTCAAATTGTAGAGTTGAACTATAAGGTCCTGAGTCAAACGGTTCCTTTCTAGGTCAAGTTCTGAAGGAAAACTACTGACGTGGGCCCAACCATTGAACACCAGGCTGTTCAGGTAAGGAGCGCATGGACGGTATTCCTGTGAGCATGAACAAAGGTGATCTCCTCAAAGTGTTAAAGCAGCTGGATCCTTTCCAAGACCTGTGCGACTGCTTCGAGGGCCGTTCCCCAGCTGGTGGAAAGCATATGCACCACTGGTAGCAGCCCCCCCCCACCATTTTGTTTCCTTGGTGGCCCCCATGGCAGTTCACACACATGCATAGAAGAACCTTTATTATGGTTCCCTATAAAAATCCACCTTGCCATGGAGACTCCTCCTTTTGCTCACAGCTAAAGCTTAGTGGAACAACCAGAACGTTATTCAGTCCCATGACCATCCATGTTGCAGGCTGCAGTCGTACAGCGCAGATGTGCATTCCCAGCTTAGCAAGCCCTGGACCCACAAAGGTCTCCCCTCCCTCAGATCAGATCACTCTCGCCCTGGGCTAAAATACCTTTCTTCCAGCCTCATTGTTGTGCAGGTTCATCAGCCTCCGCGCGCTCTTTCTGATTTCTCTGGCGTCGACGAACCTTCTGGAGAAGTCAATGCCGTATCTGATGTCGGCAGAACAGCCTCCCCACTTCCACCCTTCCTCCTGGTTGTAATAACCTTGTTTCTCTCTGTCACAGCCACAACTACTGAGGTTGCCCTGGCTGCAGGCAGCCGTGATTGCGTGGGCCACCCCAGCGGCAGTGATGGCGTAGGTGAAGGCAGCTTCTCTGCTTCCTGTGGGGGACAAAGTAGAAAAAGGGGGGGACAAGGTCAACTGGGAGGAGGGATAATGAGGAAACCAAACTTCCTGGAAACGCTTGAGAAATAGTGCATTTTAGGAAGACCCATAGCATTTACTCTTATACCAGTGTTTCTTAACCTTTAAGATGCATGGACTTCAACTCCCAGAATTCCCCAGCCAGCATGGCTGGCTGGGGAA